TTCTGAGGGGGATACAGTTCCAACCAGAGATTAGGATCAGGCCCTTTTTCTCTCCCAGTCATTTCTCCCTCTTTGATTGCCTTTCACTTATGAATGCGTCTATCTACTATTCCTTCAGGCCTGTGAATGTTCCCTTTTCTAGAGGCAGCATATGCCTGTGAGCCCATCCTTTAGAACTCAGCTCTCAGCTATAGCAAAGAAAAGTTAGCCAAAGGAAACGCAACAAGGCAAATATTCCTCCCTGGGTATATGCCTTTAACAAATACTAATACAGTTCTGAGATGGCACATTAACCTAAATGCACCGGTGAAACTTTCGCAGTGGGAAGAATTCCTTTTCAGTAGTGGTATTTCCTAGGACACTCTCACTGTGGGTATTCTCTCCCTCAGAGCCTTTCTGTTCCTCTCTTGTGGAAAAGCAGAGAAATTCAGCTGTCTTTGAATTGGTACATTTATTCACCTCCTGGTTCTCAATGTACCAAGGGAGATCCGTTCTTCATAAGGAAGTCCATTGACTGCAAGGATTTTGCTTCAGAAAATATCATCCTGGGGTAAAAGCATGTGGACTCTAAGCCCATTTTAAGCTGTGGGTAATTTTCAAAGACTGAACATGGAGACAGAGGGCATTTGGTTGCTAGGAAAATAGAATAAGATAAACATCATCTCTCTGCCCTGTTGCTTATTTTTTCGCATTGGGATGGGCTGCACTTGCCAATCTGTCCCTCCCATCTCAGTGGTGGCAGGCTCACAGTCAGGCCTGTCTCTCAGGTGTGGGATGTAGTTCCCAGCTTAGCAAGGACGCGGTGTAGGGATCTCCCTCCGTGCTTGTAAAGAGTAAAAGACAGAGATAATAGTTCACTGGCATCAATAACCTGCCTCCTCCCACCAGCGGATCGCGGGAATAATAGACTCAGCACTGCCCTCCTCCACCCCCTCCCTCGACTCTGCCACTGTCAGAGTCTCTTTCCTTCCCCACAACTGGGAACTCGAGGGAGCAGATTGTTTTGGCTGGAATTAGTCGGGCGCAGATGGTACCACCTGCTGCATGTTCCTTACTTCTTATTGGCTTCTCTCGCGGCTCTGTGAGTTTTTGTATTTTTTTAGAAGTTCAGAGGAAGGGGAAATGGCTGAGGCCCTTGCTCATGCCTGATTCTATCCCAGCTGTTTCGAGCAGACTAGCAACCATGGGGATCTGGCTGGAAAACGCCGACTGGGGAAGGGGCTTCCACCAGCATCCCATGTGCCATCTCTCACGCTTCAGTTTCCAAAATACAAACTTCCTTTGGGCCAAACAATTTCTGCTTTCCAGGCTGACAGATCTGCTTGTGATGAGGTACAAGGCAGGTACAAACGTCTGAGAAATGAGGTTTTCCTCCATTCCAAAACACATTTCATGTTACTGTCCATTTGTAGGGGAGAAGTAGTAATGATCAAGCTGCAAAATTCATTACAGGCGATTCACTGGGGTTAAAAATCCAGTCCCCCAGATGACCACAGTATGGAACTCAAGAGATTAATAAATTCAATTTTCAAACCTAACACAAGTAAGACATTGGACCAAGGTCCTAAGAAGTTTATCAAAAGCCCCCCTCTTCTTGCTTTATCTCTACCCCTCTACTATACTCTCTAGGGGGAACTTTCTTTCAAGTACACAAAGCCAAATTCATTTGTGCCTCATGCATCTTCACTTGGAGTTCCTTCTCCCAGGAATGCTCTTGTTCCAGCTCTTCCTATGACTCACTTCTCATCTTTCAGGCTCAACTCTCCAAGAGGCTTTTCCTGACACCCCAAATTGCATTGAGTTTGCCTGTCCCCACTTCCATCTTAGTATTTCCTCATTTGATTTTATTTTTCCAGGAAGCAGTCCTATCTGCCGGGAGCTTGTATTTTGTTTTCTACCTTCCCTGACAGAATGTACATCCTTAAAGGGGGATATTGTCTGTTTACTTAACACTTATTACTACAACATAAAGTGGTTCTTTGGCTCATTGTTCAGTTCACTAAATTGCTTTTAAAAGCAATTAAAAACAATAAAATGATCTGTGTCAGGATGAGAGACCCAGTCTCTTTTTCAGGTTCCCCTGGCCCTACAGGATGATCTGGGGTTTTGTATTTCCACTAAGCCTCAGCATTTGAAGGTCTAAGGCTTGGGCCTGGAAGTGTCCAGGATTTCTCGTACTTTAACTTTCCTTTGTGTATTTCCATCAATTCTGCTCTTCCTGTTTTCTTAACCTCCAGGTGCTTTGGTTACTTTGGGCCTATCTGAAGCCCTTTTTTCTCCTCTGGTCAAGCGGAGGTTGTTCAGTGCATGAAGGATGCAGAGCAGTTACACCTATAAGGGAGAATGGTGCTGGGAACTTGTAAAGGGGCCTCAGAACTGCGGAAGGAGAGACTGGATGGAGCTACAGGCCCTCGATGTCAAGAGCCTTAGAAAAGGCAAGTCGGCAAAGGGCGGCAGCAACAGTAACTAATTTTTTTAAGAGCATTTCAAAATTGAGGCCATTTCTGGCTGTCAGTGAGTGGAGACCCTAGGTGGTAAGAAGTGACTAAACAGATGCTGTGACCGCTTAAGAGTAACACAGGCTCTCAACATGGATTGTTTCCCTTCCTCTCTTGCATGGAAAAGTTCTTCGAGACCAGAAGGAACTTCTTGAGGGAACTAACCCATGTCTTTTGCTGTTTCCTGGGCGGTTTGAAAAGAACATTTTACTGTGGTGTTTTGGAGAGCTTAGGAAACATTGTTACAGAGGACCGGGGTTTGGGCAATCTGTGATAACTGCTTTCCAGATTATTACGGGGTTGAAACCAAACACTTGTGTGTTTTCAAGCACTTGCAGACCTCAGTTTCTTCATCTATAATATGTGGGTGGTAGATTAGTTGCTTTTATTTTTCCAAATGGTACAAACATAAAGTTTTTATTTATAATAAACGAAATTTTTATCAATTTTAATGTAGACGTAAAAAGTGCCATAATTTAGTTACCGTCATCAAGGCGTTTACAATATAAGATGTTATAAATGAAAACCCCTGTGAAAGTGTTTTGTATAAGTCATTAGACCAATTTTCATTTTCAGAGTTAAGGTTGTACACATGAAGCAGTTCTTATGGCTAGAAACTGCTTGTTGGAAGATTATGTTGACTCTTACATCACCATTTATTTAAAGTGAATAAAGGCCCCTTTTCATGGAATTGTCTTTGATATTTTAAATGCACTTTCTGTTGAGGAAAAGAAAGGTAAGTGCTTAGAAGTTAAGCTGATTATTGTAGGCATACTCATTTTAGGAATGTCTTTTTTAACAAGTTAGGCAGGGTGACTTGTACTTCTGTTTTCCCCTCTTGCTTAGATAGGCCTTTAGCCAGAATCCTGTGCACTCAAACTTTCTAAGCATGTTCAGGAATGAGGTGGTAGACCTCCACAGAGTATTTCAGACTGCAGGAAGTGGTTGAGGGTTACTCAGGAGTTGGTGTTCTCCCTTTGTGTCCACACGGATCTTGGGCTGCCCTTTGGTTTCGGGAAATGTTTCTGTTCAGAAGACATGTGGAAACCAAAGTCTAGGTTGCTGTGGTTGCTAAATGTACTGCCTGGCTTCCTCTGAACTTCGCGCTGCTCTCGATTCTCCTTTCTAAATTTATATTCTTTTATTCATCTATATTTTCAAGTAATTTAAAGGCTGTATTTCTCCTTCTCTAAACAAAACTGGACAGGAGTATGCTGTAATTATTGGCCCTATAATAAAACTATTTTAAGAAAGGATGAAAGTGATTCTTTATTGTTTAAGGAAAGGCCATGCATTAAAAGTCTTAGTTTTGTAAGTGATGGGAAAAAGTTGATTCAATATTTTCTCTATTCAATTGTTGGCATACCTCAGAAATTGCCCAAAATTTTTATGAAGCTTTCTTAAGAACTTTGTACTTTTCAAGTATCAATATTTTTAAATGTTTTTTATTTATGTAAGGTATCAAAATAGAAAGTATCTCATAAGCCCTCTGTTTAGACTCCATCTTGAGTATTTTGTTTAAGATACAATTTATTAAAGTGTATACACATAAGCTTAGCACAGCTACACACACACACACACACATACACACACACTCATACACACACACCATATACATACACACTCACACACAGGCTCACACCCCTACACACAATCACACACATATACACACACCCACATACTCACGGGGCCTCTCTCTCTCTCTCTCTCTCTCTCTCTCTCTCTCTCTCTCTCTCTCTCTCACACACACACACACACACACACACACACACACACACACTTATACTTCCTTTCGAGTGTTCTGAAAATGGTCAGATCACAAGGCAGCAATCTTTCCCTGAATGCTTCCTTATGTGAAGTTGGTTCTTTCTTAGTTCTGTCCTTGCCAATTTTAAATTTCTTGCCAGAAAAGAAGTCTATTTTTAACGTTTTGGGGTCTTATCCTTCCTTTCAAACCTAACAGGCACATTCTGTAGAGTGAAAGAAAGCTGATGGGGTGCACTTACAAGTCAGGATCCTCAGGATTTGCAGTTTCTGTGGAATCAAAGCCATGAATGAGGAAGACCAATTAGAAATACTTAAAAGATCATTTGTCACCACTTTAATCTTCATGTATTTTTAAATCATCATTTTCTTTGACTAAAATTATTAGAATCTTTGTCATATTCTTCTCAAGGCCAAATGGAAATGATGATGTTCATTTTCCATGCTCTGTATTTTGGAGTATTTTAATATGTCACACTAGATTATAGGTGGTAGGTGGTGACTTTTAATAGAGGAATTTTAGCTTATGGCATATTCAGCATCATGTCGTCTCAATGTCATGTCTCGGATTAATGCTACACTTCATATACAAATGAAGACTGAGGGGTGGGTTTATCCTGTTACTTAAGAGCATTTGTTTAATTCAGAGATTAATATATCATCTTCAACCCTGAAACAGAGGCCCTCTGAAACTTTAACCCAAAAAATTGGACACGGCCTACTAGCCCAAAAAGAACATGTTGCCAATTCTCTCCATGTTTATTTAAATAGTTTGCTCTAAAGGAAGCAATCATTCCTTTATACTTCTTTAAATTTAGTATTGACATTTTTATTTTGGGAAAGGAGGTCTTTTTTTTTTTTAACATGGATACAGGAAAAGAAAACTCTCCAATAAAAATATTGTCTAAAAAGTTTGTTTTGTTTGCATGATTTACTAAATATGTACAATTTCAATTCACAGCGAAGGTAACAAAGATTTCAACAGCCAACATCACAAATGTCTCAAGTTCTAAAAAAAAAAGTTCACTGTGCACAGTTTGACAATTTAATTGAATAAAAACCAAAGCTAAGCCTTCAGTATGAATCTTTTTCATGATGGGCACAAGCCATGTTTTTTTCTTCGTCTTTGTTTCACGATGCATATTCAGTGACTAAAAGCCCCTTCCCATTTTAGTATATTAGGTTATGTCGGTATACTGAAGAGAGGCGTTAACAGCCTCTTGGTTCACCAATACAATCTGTGATGTGTTCACATATATATATTGCAATATTTATTAATATATAAAATGATCACAAGTCATCTGTGACTTTGTAATGTTTTAAGATGTAGGAATGTTTTTCTATATGTATAAAGTTTTAAATTTATAGTTATGTATGTCAGCCATAATAATTTACCAGTGTCCCTTTGATGTAAGGTATCTGGAAAGAACTACTCTGCTTTTGAACTATAGAGATGTCTCATCCCTATCTGCTTCAGGTTTGTAAAGTCTGCTATTACATGAATCCAAATATTGCAGTCATTCTGATGTAATGATCAAGTGAGTAAAATAACTAATCATCATCAGAAATAAATGCCACTGAATACAAATCATTGTATTTCAGTTAAGAAGGGAGCCATAGCTTTAGCTACCTTAGAACATCTACAATAACATTGTTTTCACATATATTTTCCCCACCTAAATTCTTTGGTGTTTCCCCCTCTTTTAGTATCAGTGCTGTGAGTGATGAACATGCAATGTGAGATTCAAATAATTGTATTGAGCATGTTTATTTGAATAATTGCCCCATTGCACACCAAATAAATCTGCTGAGTGTGTTTGTTTGAATGTGTTTTACATGTACATGGGAGCACATACTCAAATAAATGCAGCTGTGTTTATTACAATGTGCGGGGGCTTCAGAGCACACACATTTGTTTGTGTGCATATCCAGGGCCAACATGCCCGAATGGCCACACATCCTGGAGCAAAAAAAAACATGGCTAACAATTTTTTATTTCAAATATATATATATAAACTTATTATTGGGCAATATCTTCAAATTTATAACTAAATTTTGATGTTGTTAAGGCGTATGTCCTTAGAAAGATAAAAATAACATTTTAAAGTTATCTGATTGTGAAAAGTATCTAATAAATTTATTAATATCTATTCAAATATAGTCCTTTCTCTCCTCCTTCCTTCAAGCCCTCCCAATCCACTGCAAGTTCAGTTCATGCTAAGGGAGTTGTATGCTGTTAGTTCTGGCTGAGAAATACTTCTCTCTCTTCCCAGTTCCTCAGAACTAAGCCTACGGTGTCATGTGCAAAAAAGAAAGAACCTCACAGATCTGCTAGAATACAAAAGGCTCTTGAGAAAATGGGCAGGGATGTTCATTTCCAGCATTTCATCACCTTCTCCCAGCCCCTATTCTCGGGAGTAAAGAGTAATACTTAAGACTAGAATATGGAAGAGGATTGGCTAAGGAAAGGAGATTATGTGTCACAATTTGGAGGGGCTTTCTTGCTGATGACCTTGGAAAGGAATCTTAGGATAAGCCAAATGTTTTTATTCTTCCCTAGAGCTGGAAGACTATGCAGCTCAAACGTGCAATGCTATAAGTGGATAAATTGCATTAAAAAAAAAAAAAACTTATAGGGGACATTGTAGTGATTGTCACAAATTTACAAGTGTTAACCTGATCTTTTCAGACTCAGGTATTCTGAGCCTTCCTGTAAAAAGTAATTAGGAAAAACAATGACAGAAGGAGGGATTTATTTTTTTGTGGGGGAGGGGGGTCTACGCTTCCCCTCACTCTTCATGCATGTTTTTTTCTTTCTGAGGAGAAAGAGTAGGTTGCACATTTGTTGTTGTTGGTCCTGTCTCTTGTGGATTGGGACACGGATATGCCCCATGGGCAGCAGAGACCTACATTGCTTTAAAGGAGGCCACAGGGATTTATCCTACCCAGACAAAATTTAATGGCTTGATATTTTCAGGTTGAATTAATAAAGTCATTGCCTAGAGCCTTTAAAATCAGAAAAATCTCTGTGTAGTGTATTTATTTGTGCCGTTCAAAGAAGGAGAAATAGGGAAAGAATTTTCTAAACTTTCCAGATATGAAAACTCTAGGGTATGGATGGCAGAGCAGAATATTTTATGCCATTTTTCCTCAACCCACTCCTCACCACAGGTCTGAAGATAGAGCTGAAAACAGGTTTTTCTAGAAAGATCCACTCAATTACCTCAGTATATTCATA